TTAAGGAAAGAAGGATTTGTCAGGAAGACCTAGATTCAAATCCCATCTTTAGCACTTCCCTTTCCAGAGCCTCAGTTTCCTCATCTATAAAATGGGGATACTACCAACCTACCCTGCAGAGCTGCCATGAGGACAAAACAAGATATTGCTGCACATACAAAAAGAGGCAAAAAACCAGTCCCTGCCCTCAAGGAGCTTACAGTCCAGTGGGCGCTTATTCCCTAATGGGATGTCACATAAACGTTAATTATTATTTGCCCAATAATTCCAGACGGTAGAGCTCAGGACGGATAAGTAGATCAGTAATACCCTGCATACAGGTAGCACTTTAAGGTCTACAAAACCTTGGGATGACCCTGCTAGGTAAGGGATTATTATCCCCATTTTACGGATTAGAAAACGAAGGCTTTGAGAGATGAACTTCCTTAATTAATAGTTTTTACATCTAGTTCTCTTAAATCCAAGGCCATCACTCTTTGCTCTACTCCACCCTGTAGATTTTTGCATAATGTTGTCCCTGTTCAGTACTGTCCAACTGTCTATGACCCCATTTGGGGTTTTCTTGGCAAAGATACGCGAGTGGTTTGCCATTTCCTTCTCCAGCTCATTTGACAGATGAAGAAACCGAGGCAAACAAGGTGAAGTGACTTGCCCAAGGTCACACAGCTAGGTAGATTTGAACTCGAGAAAGATGAGTCATCCTAACCCAAGGCCCAGCACTATAGTGCCGCCTAGCTGCCCTAAAGATCACCTTAAGGGATAGTTTTACAGATGACTAACCGAGAGGGACTCAGAAAAGGGAAATGACCTAAGGTCGCAGATAGCGTGAGCTCTATGGTCAGAGCTCCTGGGGGGAAGGAACTGATAACTGGGGGGAATCGCAAAAGACATTGAGTAGGACATGGGACTTGTTAGTGTTCTGAAGGATTCTAAGAGGCAAAGGTGAAGAGAGAGAGCTGTTGCTTAGCCAAGCCTTCCTTTCCCTACACTTGGACAGTTGACTTTTTGAACCCAAGAGAAGGACTTTACATTGATCTCTCTTTTAGGGTCCCCCAGCTGGTAAGGGATGGAGCTCTCTTTTCTGAATGCCCACAGAGCCTGGTACTTTCTCCAGATAGATAATACTAAATAACTTTTTGTAATTAAACTAAACTCCTAGGCTCTTATCACATGAATGTATGTAATTTGTGTAAGCATCTTAGCCTCCCGTTGAGATTATAAGCTCTGTGAGGGCAAAGGCTCTTCTCTTCTCCATCTCTGTCTCTCCAGTGTCTGGCCCAGTCCATGGGAGGTACCAGTAATCCTTAAGCAGATGAAAGAATGGAGAAGAGTCTGAGATGGGTGTGCTAGCCTGAGACTGCGACAAAGAGCTCCCAAGGAATCAATTTGCAAGTGCAGAGTGATTCAGGTTTGGCAAAACCAGCAAGGGAGATGAGGCTGCCTCCCCAGGAGGCTGTCAACAAAGCCAGCAGCCGGCCGCCTGACTCAGAGCCCAGAAGCCAGTAGCAGTGGGTGGGAACAAAGCAACAGAGGACAGGAGAACAGCACAAAGTGAGACACAGGGTCTTTCAAGGCCAGCTGGAGTGGTTTGCATTTCCTCCTCCCATTACAGCTAATAGTAGCTAACCTGTAGGTCTGCAAAGGGTATATTATCATGTATATGATCTTGAGTCTTTGAGGTAGGTGATATTCTCTCCATTTTAGAGGGTCATAGACCAAGAGCTGAAATGTGCTCCGGGGGCATCTTTTCTTTCACAGTTGAGGAAACTGAGGCCCAGAGAGGTTAAGGGACAGGTCCTTGGCCCGAGTGGCAGCGGGTCTTTGAGCACAGGGCTTTGGACTCCAAATCCAGCGCTGTCTTCCACATTTTTGTTTCCTCATCTGTAAAATGGGGAGATTGGACTACACACCCTCTGAGGTCATTCTAGCTGCAGGTTTACCATCCTGTGACCCAGGTTCAAATCTTTCCCCGATCCTTACTGCCTTTTTGACCTTGGTCAAGTCAACCTCCCTGAGCCTTGGTTTCCTCCTCTGTAAAATGCAAGGTTCAGACTACATTTCCTGTGAGGTCCTGTCTAGTCGTCCTAAGCACATCAACTCTTTATCCCCCCTTTTTTCTTTTCTTTTTTTTTTTTGGTCTTTATCTCCCCAGTCCCTAGCACAGCGCCTGGTGCATAGCAGTGGCTTAATACATATTTGTTGATTGACCTCGTGGTTGAGATTGATTGCAGGCACTTCACTGAATACTTAACTCTGCCATCCTCTAAAACACCAGGAGTACTTGAGAGGGGCGAGGGGCAGAGGGCCTGGATGAGCATCCAAGGAGGAAACCTGAGTCCCATCGGAAGGCTCTCTAGTCTGGCCCCGTCCCAGGGGCTGTACTTTTCCATCCAACTCTCACATGAAACAGACTCCCTTTCACCACGGCCCTGAGCTGAACCCTAACTCTCCTCCCCTCCCTTTTCAGACCCACATTAGGGCTCTCTCTCTCCCCACCCCAAACCCTCACCAGCCAGATCACCTCGGGTTCCCTCTCAGAAGAACCTGGGGCAGGCGAGGGCCGCCAAGTTCCCTCTTGACGGGGCTGGGAGTTCTCAGAAGCGGGGATGAGTGGGGAGAGCATGCTAGATGAGGGGACAGCATGGACAAAATCACTGAGGTGCATATGGAATGCTAAGGCTGGGGGGCAGCTAGGAGGCCAGCTGGACTGGCCGAAAGAATCAAGTTCAGGGAACCGGCTCAAATTTCTTGAGTTACTCCAACCTCAGGCCTCTTGGACCCCTGAACCAGAGTCAGAAGACCTAGGTTTTGGTCCTGACTCTGGCCCTTGAGTCCCTTGCCTTCTTGGAAAAGTCCCTTCCCTAAAGCCTCAGTTTCTTCAGCTGAAAAATGGGCAAATGACCTCTAAATGAAGGGGGTTAAGTTAGGGGATATTAGCAACAAATCACACTTCTTTTTTTTTTAATAGCCTTTTTTTTGTTTTTTTTTTGGCTAGGCAATGGGGTTAAGTGACTTGCCCAGGGTCACACAGCTAGTAAGTGTTATGTGTCTGAGGCCACATTTGAACTCAGGTCCTCCTGACTCCAGGACCAGTGCTCTATCCACTGCGCCACCTGGCTGCCCCTAACAAATCACACTTCTTCATCACCTTAAGATTTCGAGAAGGGTTTCCTTCACAGCAACTGGTAAGGCAGATAGCCCCAGTGACTCCCTCCTCCCCTCCACCCCCATTTTTCAGATGAAGAAACTGAGGCCCTGAGATGTCAAGGGACTTGCCATGATTATACTCAGCTAGTAAGGTCTGTCTGAGACCAGGTTCCAACCCTGGTCTCCTGACTCCCAATCTGGTACTCTCTCCACACTGACCCTGTGGACCTATTTGGCAATCCTGTGAACCTGGAGGAGCCCTCTTCAGTATTACGTTCTGAAATGAATAAAATAGAATACAGGGCATCACAAAAGAAACCAATTATGCTAAAATGCAGTTATTATAATATATAAAAGACCCCCTATTAGCAGGTCCAACTCCAGGTTAAAAATTCCCGTGTCAATTTCTGGCAGCCCCAAAGCCTATGAAATGCGCTGAGTTCTCAGAGCTCACGGTCTCTGGACAAACTTCTCCCAATGGTCATACAACAGAAGGAGCCCTCCTGGAATGTCCTCACTGTTGTGGGTAGGAGTTTCTGGGGGTTTGAGTACTCCTGACCCTTGTGCCGGAGGGGCTCCCCAGAAACCGCCAATGCTCAAGGCAACCTTCAAACCTCCTTGAATTCGAGAATGTCAGAGTAGACCTCAGACATCTTCTTGTCCAAGATACCCATTTTACAGAGGAAGAAACTGAGGCTGAGAGAGGGGAAGCAATGGTCCTATAGCAGATCCAGGGCTTAAATGGAGGTCTTCACACCTTGTTCAGTGTTCTTTTCACTAGGCTGCTCAGTTATCTGGAAAGTTCTGAACCTTTCATGAGGAAGGCTTTGGGAGGAGCTTAGCATGCTACCTGGCACACAGTAGGTGGGACTGTCTTTTGCCTTTCCCTATTTTCCCAGAGCTTGGCACATGGGGGGGGGCTGGCACATAGTAGGTGCTTAATACATGTTAACTGATGGACTGTCCAAAAAAGTCAGTTGGGCTAAACTAGGAGTTAGTCTCATACCTTGGAACGGACGCTGGTGCCAGTGTGAAGACCAGGATTTAAATCTCAGGCCGGATGCTCAGTCCCTGTGTGACCTTGGGCAAGTCACCGAACATCTGTAAAATGAGGGCTTGGACTAGCCAGCCTCGGAGTTCAGCTCCTGGTCTACCATGTTAAGATGTGAGTTCAGATTTTGCTCCAGATGCTCACATCTGGTGTGTGACCTTGGGCTCCTCATGAGGCAATTTATACTGGCCTCTACTTCCCCATCTGTAAAATGAGGGGGCTGGATTAGAAGGATTCTGAAATTCCTTCCAGATTTAGGTCTGTGACTTGGGTTCAAATCTCTCCCCTGCAACCTTGTAACTCAAGCAGCCTGTCTGGGTCTCGGTTTCCAGCTCTAAGGCCATGATGCTAAGACCTGAGTTCGAATCTCACCCCTGACCCTCGTAAGTCACGTCACCCCTCTGGGCCTCAGTTTCCCCAAACTCCCCTGCGCTAAGATGAGGCCCGGGGGATGGGTGCGGAGCATCTGCCCCCCAATGGAAGCCCTGGACCAGGCGCGTCCTCTTCTCGCCCCACAGGCCCGCGGCCAATGGCTTGGGCGACGGAACCCTCGCGACAGGCGACAGGCTTAAGCGGGGGCTGTCTGTCGGCGACAGGGCGCCGAGGGCGGGCTTCCCGCCGAGCCCCGCGGCCGGAGGCACCCGCCCGTCCGTCTCCCCGCGCCGCGCTCTCGCCCCGGTCGCGGCACTGGCTCATGTCGCGGCGCTCGCCCCCCTATCGCGATCGCGCCGAGCAGCCGAACGCGGCGCTGGCCCTTTAACGGCCCCGTCCCGGGGGCCGGCACCGCGCGTGCGCACTGCGGCTCTGCGCTTGTCATCATGGCGACGCGGGGCCATGTGCAGGACCCTAACGACCGGCGCCTCCGGCCCATCTACGGTGAGTGGCCCCGGTCGGGCGCCGGCCCCGAGCGCCGCCGGCCGGAGCCGAGCCCGCCCCGG